CTACTAAGAATTTGCTGTTGGTGCCTTGATAGAGGATTACAAGGTTGGCCAGCAGGACATGTATGAAGACAGGTGTGTGGTAGGAATAACAGATGGATTAATGAGAATAGAGAGGAGGTGGAGGTATGCTCTGGAGAGAAGAGGAATATACATGTGTGTGAATGAGAGTCTGAGGTGTAACAGTGAAGATACAAGAAGGACAGTAAGTAAAGGTAGATGAATTGAAATACCTGGGTTCAACCATCCAATTTAATGGATAGTGCACAAGAAAGGTGAAGCAGACAGTGATTGGAGGGTGGAGTGGGTCGAGATGACTGTTTGGAGAAGCAGAAAGAGTGATAAAGTTGCATTATGGTAGTGAGACCTGCTATGATGTATGGTTTGGAGATGCCAGCATTAGTAAAATGACAGGAGGCAGAGTGAGCAGGAGAGATTAGAAATGAGTGCATTAGCTCAGTTTGAGTAGTTTGGACATAAAGTTAGAGTCAGCTGACCGATACATGAATTTGTAGGAACATCACGGTTGCATATTTGTTTTAGTGTAATCGCACCACAAAAGTGATGTAGAGACTGGAGCACAGGAGGCTGTATAAAGAGGTTTTTTACCATCATCTGTGCAGCTGTTTTCTATTATTTTTTAATTTATGTGGGTATAGCACATGTGCACCATTCATTTTATGGTTTAGTAAAATTCTTTCAAATGTTTAGTAGTAAATATAAAGTGAAAAATGGTTTTGATCACAGACGTGCATGGTTTCTCTCCTAAAAAAATAAAAAGTAGAAAATGAATGAATAATGAATCGGAAAAAACAAAAACATAACACTAGTTTAAGAAAAGAAAACCAATTTTTTAAAAAAACAACATAAAATGTAAATAAACATCTAACAACCCTTTTAATTTACTGTTACTTTTATAATTTTTCTTTCTTTTCTTTCATAAGTTCATAAACATTTGAAGCAACAAACCAATCAAAATGAAATCGTTCCAGTCTGATCCAAAACCCTGTAAATTGATGTGGTTTAAACCTACAGGAGAACATCAGCTTCTCCATCATGTACAGTATGGAGATGTTTTTGGTAATGGCTTTCTTGTTTGCAGTCAGCATTACTCTAAAAATATCTCTGTCTCCAAAGTTTCTAATTCTTTTATTTCTTTTTCAGAAAATATTAAACTCTAATGAAAGAGCACTGTGAAGCGATCATCATCATGCTGTTCTCTGTGTTTATGCACATGATTAGGTGTTTCAGAGGCGGAGAAGCAACTATCGTTCTTAGCTGACGTTGCTGTGGCGCCATCCTGTGGTAAATATGAGTGCTGCAACTGCCCAGACTTGAGCCAGGTTGAGAAAAGCATCTGGCTGCAGCTCCAGTTCTTCTTGAGCAAAACAGATTGCGTACTTGACTGCCTCATCCAGGGGTAGGTTCCTGCTTTGTTGCACTCATTTTGGTCATTTCTCTGTATCATGAAGGTTTTTTGTGTCCTGGCAGGCAGAAGTGTGTAAGCAGGGACACTGTAGTTACTGCTGTGCAAAATTTCCTGTACACCTGTCAGCCTTTCTTTAACCACCTGGAACACCTAACCAGAAGCATCGTGTCCCAGAGCAACCCTCTGCCAGCTGAGAGTTGCACAAGGGTAAATTTTCACAGTTTTATAGCATTTTTTTCCTCATGCATACGAAAAGTTTGGAAAGTTACCGTGCTCAGATTGCAAGCTAAAAGGAATTTCAAACACCATAAACATTGCTGAAGTTGTAGGTTTTTTTTATTCCCCCCCCCACACTCTTGATGATAAACACCTTCATTTAGAAAAAACATTTTTTGTTTACTTGTTAATTAAATTGATTTGACAATCTCAAATAAAGGAAATCATGTAGGCAGCAAACACTTTTCACACCAGTGTAGTTGACTTTGATTGGAAGCAACAGTTTCATCTGTTGAGTAGTTAAATTATGTATTTGACAGAAAGCTTATTGCACTTCATATAAGAAATGAATCCTATGTTGTTGTGGTCAGTCGCTCCAGAACAGTTTGTGCATCAGCTGTTGGAACAAACTGCCCGAGCGGGAGGTGTATCGGTGCCGTGTGTGTCTACAACTTGAAAATTTTGTGGTTTATATTTACTCTAAACTGTGTGTGTGTGTGTGTGTGTGTGTGTGTGTGTGTGTGTGCGTGCAGCTGTTGGACTTCTCTCAGCAGCTGTGTGACAAGTTGGAGCAGATGCTGCTGAGGTGTTCCAGCTACAATCTTCTCAGTTTGGATGAGAAGGAGCCCCAAAGGTGCACGCTTATGCAAACTAATACTTGCTTTTGTTTACGTGTGTTTGTACTATGAAGCAGGATTTAGGCTTATTGAGCTACAGTTGTGGGTGGAAGTTTACATCCACTCATTATGGGAATGAATGTCATGCTTTTAAAATTTTGAACAGTTCCTTTTCAAGAATTGGGTGCACAAGTTTGAATTTATTTTGGATTTTCTCTAAATTAAAAAAAAAATACATTAACTCACTCAAGCCCTGTAATAAGTGGAGATGGAGATTCTATAATGCAATCTAACTTGACAAGGCCAAGCCTGACTAACACACATTAACCTTGGTGATCATGATTGACTAAAACTGGTAGTTTCTCTTTGCTGCATAAAAAGGATTTGTTGGACAGCACTCATTGGATTTAGAACAATGAGAAAGTCCGAGGAACTCTGAAGATCTAAGGAGGAGAATTGTGGATTTATAGAAGTCAGGAAGGTCTTCTTTTGGAGCCATTTCTAACTGCAGACCCAAACGGTCACCCTCAGATGGGATTGGTTAGGATGCTCAGGAACCATCCAGGAGCCAGCAAAGCTCAAGCCTGCCATGAAATGGAAACTGCTGGAGCCAATATCCCGCCAGAATTATTCCATGAGCATATTAGCGGGAATGTATGTATACTTTGACTATACTTTGACTGTGTGGATTAGATTATCCAAAATAAATTCAAACTTGTGCACCCAATTGTCACTGAAGATGTATACTGTGCAATTATTCCACCCTGGAAAAAGAACAGTTCAATTATATAATAAAAAAAGCCAAAGATTACCATGACATTCATGCCACTGATGTATTTATTTAACCTTTTGAAACTAATTGTTACATCATTACAAGTTATCAACATGACTAACTTATGATTCTCCAAATCCTCATCCTCCTGTTGTTTCTGCTCATGTCCAGATTTTATATCTAGTACGGTTTACCTGTCACACATAAACCTGTAATCATTTTAAACTTCACGTGGTCACATTTCTTCCCTGTCCTACAGATTACTTCACATTTTCTTTGCACCTGCGTGCAGAACCTACCGTTTAGAATCAGCATTTTGTGATTCTTTTTTTAATACTCCCATCATTTTCTTCTTCTCTGCACAACCCCAACACGGTGACTGTTGCTATAAACTTTTCACTCTGAACATCAACGTCTTTTGTGTTTTTGTTCCCAGCGTGTCTCAGTTCTGCATCGGCCAGAGTCAGCTCGGCCACCTGAGGCTGACCGTTTTCTGTTACTGTGTACCCACGCCGTACCTCTCCCAGGTCAACACGGGGCTGTACAAACGCATGCGTTGGAACGTGGAGAAACTCCACAACGATGAAGAGAAAGAGGCAGAAACTGATTAGTGAGTCTGGATGTTGAAGCATCTCCATGTTCTGTTTCTTGCTCACTTTAAGTCATTAAAACTTCTCACCTTTCATGTGTCATTCCTGGGTTTCAAGCTACTTCCTGTGCTATGAGGATTTCAGGCCACACAGAGAGGCTGATGATAGCTGCGGTCATGATGATCTGAAGGGGATCTGGTCCATTGGTCGCTGGGTGCAGGTGGACCCGGATCCCAACTCAGATGATATAAATGACTGGTAGGCTGCTATTTATGAAAACTCTGAGCTGTGTCCCCGATTAGGATTTTCTGACTCATCTGTGTTCATGTTTCAGGATCTTGTGTGAGGTCCCTCTGGCTGACTACCACAGACTCTTGTTTCTGGGTGAGGACGAGCCGTCTAGCTGCAAGGCTACAGACTCCCTGATGAAGCTGCTTTTGACTCTGGAGACAGATTAGCTTATACAGGACCTAAGAAACTGTTCAAGGTTTAAAGCATGTTGAATGCAGCGTGTTGCCGATTCATCTGCATCCAGGTGATGCGAGACGTTTGAGCATCTAGTTTCAGTTTGGACGTCAGAGCAAGAATTAAGTATTTGTGTGTTTCCGTGTTGTTTGCGCTACGTGACCACTTCACTGGTTGGTCACAGCGACTGCATTCAGGCATGCTACTTTTACGTTCACCGCTTTAGACACTCCTGCAGCAGTGATTGAGAGCTGTGTCCTGCCCCACCCAGACGGGCTGAGAGTGGACATGCTTTAACGTTACTGCAAACAATAAAGAGGCTGTTCTCTGCTCATCTGATTAACCCATATCGACATCTAGAGTCTTGTACTACTGTGACTTGGCATAAACAAATCCTACTACATTTACTGCAGTCGTATTAGCATCACAGCTGTTGATGGCAATTGACCAGGAGGCACCTTTAGACCTGAAGTTGAGCTGTTCAGATGACATCTGGAAACCAATCCTTAACTTTAAAAAGGACAGCGTCTTAAACACATCTGTGGGAACTCTGGGAAAGCGGTGCATGTCTGAAGGGGCTGTAAATAGGTCGTGTCTCTGTTAGTGCACATATCATCACATTTTAAAGTAGACAAAGCCTGTTGCGCACAAACCCTAGAATGTCCAGCTGTTAGAAGGTTCAGTGTCTTTTAGTTTGCATCTGGACATCAGAAGAGAAACAGTTCTACTTTTGTTAGCTGTAAAAAAAACACAGGTGCCTGAAAACCTGAGGAGGGGAAGTTGTTCAACAATACTGTGAAGTTTGCATGTGTGGTTTCTATGTTGTAAAAGATTTCTGAAGATTTCATGTCTGATGTTTTCAAGATTCCCACAGTTGTACAATTTGTAACCGCTCATGTTGAGAAAAGGCAAAGTGTTATTAAAAAAAAAACATTTTATTTACATGAAACATTGCATTGTAATAATTACACAATCACAGATTTGTCTACAGAAATGAACAAAGACGTTACACTTCAGAACAAGCTGCCACGGTCTGGGCCTCGAGCGAGACGGCCCGATTCGGTTCATTTCACTCGGTTCATGAAGACATTAAAGGAGCACACACAGGCTTCATTTTCAATAAATTACAAAGCAAATGAGAGACCGATGGACTCTGAGCCTAAGTAAATAACGAAATGTGTTCAGTTTGACCTTGTAACCATTCAGCTCATTAGTTCTGTTGGTTGAACATGAAGAAAGGCAATTTACTTAGAAAGAATAAGATCTACCATTTACACTCAACATCTTTCATTCTCTATTCAATAAAAATCTAAATATAACTCTTAAAACTGCTACTATAACTCTAAAACTCTGAAGTACAAAAGTAAAGTGGAGTATCCCTTCATTACAGTGATCAGTCTTTAATGATATACCCGCAAATACTTGAAAACACACCAAGGACATAAAAAATACTGAGCGCCACGTGTTCCCCGCCTGGAGCTGCAGGAATGCAAACTTCAGAATACGCTCGAACATGTGGCGGACTCTCTGCTGGAGCCAATCGTGGGAAAGGGCGAAAGTACCGAACATCGAGTCTCAGTCTGCGGTTTAATATTCGGGTCCCTGCTTTGAATTCCATTATCAAACACAATTCGGTCTTTATGCCACTGATCCACAGCGGAAAGGCCAAGGCAGCGAGCCAAGAACTGACTCAACAGGATGTGGATGGAGGGGAGGGGGGACGAGTGCCAGATTTATGAGCCCTCCATTTAGATTCACAACTAGAAGCAGAATCCCATTAAACACAAACGGACATCAACATATGGCACTTTTAAACATCTCCTCGCACCTCACAGCAGTGTCGGTTAAACCCAGAGCTCAGTGGTTGCGTTGAATCTGCATCTGACAGCTGGCCTTAAATCATGCAGTCTGTCACTGAAGCAACGCAAGTATGAGAACCTAAGGAAGACTATTTAAATGTCACGTTGGGCTACAGATCCTGCAAAAGCATTTAAACACTAACCAGTTCTGTCCATTCTAAACAATGATAATAATGATAAGAACACAAGCTTACTAAAACCTGATTCCAGTGTTTCAAAAGGGTTGTACAGACCACAGGTTGTACTGACCTTTGGTGAGAAACTGCGACCTGAGCAGCTCAGACTGACATCATTTCCTTCATCTTTTCCTAATCTAATGACTTCTTTGACCTCAATCTGGAATAATTTACATTAAAATAGGACAACAGGGACGTCTAGGCCTCAAGAATAACTAGATTTGAACGGGTAAAAATTTAAAACACTAAGGAATTGAATTAAGTGCAATCTGAGTGTGTTCCCACTTTTACATAAAGTGATGATGATGCATGTAAACGCAAACAAATTAACAGGTATGGCTTTGATTTAAAAAAAACAAAACAAAACAAAAACACCCACACAACAAAAATCGCAGGTTCAAGTGAAGAACAGTTTGCCTTACCGGGATCAGCAGTTGCTGTTAGCCGCTGTGTGTGCGTGTGAGTACAGAGTGTCCAGTTCCACCCTGTCAGTCAATAGATGTGGTGCATGATGGGAGTCTGTTAGTGATCGGATGGTTTCAGGTGTGTGTGTAAAGTTGGTGTTTAGAGTTGTGCGAGAGGTAAGTGAGGTGCTGAGTTTCAGCGTGCGGCGTCAGGTTGTGCTCATCTGCTTGAGTTTCATCGGCAGAGATGAAGCTCGGGTTCTTCGCCTGCAGAGTGAGAGGCTTTCGGCGGAGGCTCTCAGGCGGTGTCACAGCTCAGGTCCTGTTCTTCAGTCTTGCCTGATTTTACATGCACGCTAAAGCAGACCTAAAAATCGGGTTTGAATATCACTGAAGCAAGCCTGACTGATTTAGAATTTTAAGACTGTTTGGCAATTCAAAAATTTGACATTGGTTGACTTGTTTGTTTTCTTTAAAATTGTCCTTGCTGTCCTTTCAGCTCGGGCTCTAATCTGATCCGTTTTCTCATTCAGAATAGTAAAAATAAACGAGCATAGAAATACGACCAAACATACGGCAACTGACGCTATGGATACATTTCTCTTTATAGTGTTGGCAATGAACATTTTTCCTACTTGCAGAGAAGAATTTTAAATATTTACCTAAAGACGTTTTACCTTTTCAGTCCATTTAGTTTAATTTACCATCTTAAATACTGCCTGAGAGTCTTACTCCATTAACTTTTTTGCATTAATTAACAGCAACGTGTTTGGAGAACCAGCTAATAATTCAACTGTAGCACCACCAAACATTGGTAACAGTTTTGTTTGTGCTTGTTTTCACAGTACAGGAAGAAAAACCATCGTCTCTGAAATTAACTCGGGGCAGTGGTTCCAAACTTTTTTGGACTTACAATCTCTTAAAAATAACATTGGTCACTTTTTGCCACAGCTCTGAATTTTAGCTGCTTTCAAAGCCCCCAGTAAGTAGACATACTCAGTAGTTTGGAAGAAAAACAAGATTCAAAGAAAGTCTAAAAAATAAAGAGTGCGTGGAACAAAGTCATTCGCCACCCTGGTTGGGAACCACTGATCTACAGCACCACATGATCATGGGTCTGGGCAGAGTAATACAATTTGCCTTTGTAATCCCTTCATGTACTCTGAAAATTGTAAGTGACTTTAGAAGTGTGATCTCATTTATGTTCCTTATCAGATTATGTAATATTGATGATGCCCAACCCAAAATGTTTACCTCAATCCATACGGCTCTTCTCCAGGAGTGAATATCGGGAGTTTATACAGTAGACTGTTCATCACCCTGTGATGTGTGCATAAACTGGCAGGACTTGTGTCACGTTCCCTGTATGGATGTGTGACTGGTCCTTCAGTGGTGAGTCTCCAGCTCTACCACCGTCCACTCCCCCTGTGGCGAACTGCCCGTGGCCTCGGGGGAGAAACTACTCACGGAGGTGACCGTGGCAGAGGGAGGAGCGAGTGAAGGCAGCAGACTGGGCCACATGCTGCTCTCCAGGGGGCTTAGTGTGCCTCCTGCACCTCCTGGCAACAACAGCAGCGAGGAGCAACTATCTCCATTCAGTAGCAGGGTCTGATTAATCAACTGTTGAACTATGTCCACTTTCTTCCCCCAGTCCAGGTCCAAGGGTGGAGGCCGCTCTGGAGACTGGGAAGGGGAGGAAATTTCTCCATCCTTCCCAGGATGGAGAATGTCCTTTTGCTTAGGTTCCTTGTGTTTAGTGGGTTTTAGCTCGTTTATTTCTTCCTCATCATCCACTTCCTCTTCATCACTGTTCTCCAGGGCTTCGTAGATGGTGCAGAGGGCAGAGGAGGGGGACAGCAACACCGTCTGGCCTTTGTTAGACTGCTGTAGCTCCTGCTGCCACTGCATGATTTGCTGCCTTTGCTTCAGCTCCTCTTGTTGCTGCTGCAGCTGCAGCTCCAGGTCTCTCCTCTGTCTAAGCTCCTCCTCCTCCTCTTTCTTGGCTGCCTCTGCTTGCTCCTTTATCCGCCTTTCCTCCTCCTCTTTATTGCGCTTTATTTCTTCTTCAGCTTCCTCTTTCTTCCTTCTCTGCTCCTCTTCCTGCCTCCTTTTCCTCTCCTGCTCCGCCTCCTCAAGTGGTTTGCTCTGTTGTTCCCTGCGTTGTTCCAGCTCCTGCAGCTGTCTCTGATGTTGCTCCAGCCTGCGGAGCTGAGGGCTCAGCGCCTGCTGCTCGAGGCTCCTGGGAGGGAGGTCGGCACAGGTCAGCCTCGGTGGGGTAACGCCGGCGCTGTGAGGTTTGATAATGTCATAGTAGGCTCTGGTGTATGCTGCGTGATCGCGGCGGTGAGGGTGCGGTAGTGCAGTGAAGCCTGTGAGAGAGGAAGTGGGAAGGAAGATTCAAGTAGCATGACATACAACAGAAGGTAACAGGCAGCAGGACAGTGACAGCGGTGCAGTGTGAGTACAAGCAGAAAGGGTGTAGAGGGAAAGGGCAGCCTTTAAAGGCTCGTACTAGATAAAGAAATGGTGAAAGCGCTGTAAAGCCAAGGCCAAACGTTTGCCGGTAGCCTACAGCACCAAAGTGACCAGCAGTTATCTGTAATTTTGCAAGTGACAGTGTGGCATTGTCAGAGGGGTTTAAATAATTAAAAACAATAATGAAAAAATAAATCTCAACACACCAAAACAAATCAAAATAAAATTGTTTCCTAAGGTGAGGTGACTCAGGGCAGTGACTGGGCCGAGGGTGGGAAATTTGTGCAGAGAGCAAAATGTTTTTGTTTCGTGTTTTTCCTTTTTTTTTTTGTAAATATGCAAAAAAAGCAGCCAAACTTCCTGTATATGCAATCACTATTAAATACAGTGAGACATGAACAACCAAAGAATAGCTTACTGCAAGCTCTTGACAGTCATCACCCGTGAACAGAGTTTATAGTTAGACAACCAGTGATGCATGCAAAAGCTCTCCATGCATTTTCAGACATCCAGCATCACAAGAGAAACCAAAAATCATAGCTTGGCTTTAGAAGAACTCAAATGGAAAAAGAAAAAAAGGTAGATATTGTTCTAGAGCCAAGCTATCGAGCTGTCCCCAAACACACCAATCCAAAGTAATGAGATGAAATCAACCCAGTGTGCAACACTGACATGCATAAGCTCTGTTAACATTAACACAGTGCAGCGAGAATGCTTAAAAGGGTAGTAGAAAAGAGCTGAAATAGCAACACACCCTCAGTGAACTGGAGGGAAATTGAAGTAGTAGAAGAAGAATGAGCAGAGCTGGTTCCATCGATGCCCGACGATGAGGCTTCAAACTTCTTGGCTGCTTGAGATGTGTTCGAGGGTCTGATTTAGCGAATGATCAGTTCACTCATTCAGCTTGTGATATTTAGACCATTTGATGAGTCTCACTGCTTACCAAGTCCGTTTTTCAAGATAAAAGTATAACTCAAGTATGTTTCTCTGCAAGTGTATGACAGTTATTAAAAGGAGATACGTTTAATAGCAGTAATGTGAGAACTTATTATAGATACAAATCCATATATGATCAATAAAAAGCATTTACACGCCGTTCCCAAATGCCCACTTCAATAAAACTGTAGAGTAGGAGGATAAATCACTGTAAAAATCTAATCTTTATTTAAAGTTTTATGGTTCATTACTCCAAAAAGATGGATGAACAAAAGAAAAAAGGACAGGGTACAATTTAAAGTGCAAGAAGATTAAGCCTGTGTAATGTAGGAGAGCAAACTCAAACATGAACATACAAATAGAATCTCATGATTAGCCATTAGCTTCTTAGTTCAGTAAAATGCAACAGGATAAATACACATGGAAACATCATTCCACATTTCTTTTGTTATGTTTCCCTCGTTAAGAGCTGTAAACAGACAAGTCACATCCATGCCAGTTCAGGGCAGCCACAAAATTCTGTGTTGAACAGAAACCAAAACCCAGGCACGCTCACACATTACATGTAAATAGACATAGCTATTGCACATACAGGAATTGAAGCCATATGCTCTAAATGGAAATTTAATATCAGGTTGAAGTGCCATGGTTGTCCTGTTTTTGCTCTCCGTTTCTTTTTTCCTTTTTTGGGAGTTTAACAAAGATTGCAGATCAAACAACAAGAAATCTTACTGATATTAAGGGGAGACTGGTCTACAGGGCCAAAAGGAGGACAGGGTCATGATTTGGGCTGTTAGGGAGATGATGAACTATACGTTACCTGCAAAAGAGTCCTCAGTTTTATCACACACAGCAGAATAGTATGGAGGCTGGGCATCATCCAGGTTTTCCTCTGGTTGCTGTAAACGGTGAGTGGATGAACGATCTGGCGCTTCATCTGACCCCGGCGCTTCTTCTCTGACATGCTGAGCCGACTCACCTTCCTGCTTCCCACACTCTATGTACTGCTGCTCTGCGAGACACGGCTGTGGGATCAAACAGGACTCCTTGGCTTCCTCGGGCAGCTCCTCCAAGGAGAAAATACCAGGGCTTTTGATACAGTTCTCCCCTGTGGACTGAGCGTTGGAGTTTGAAGTTGTGGTGATTGTGTCAAAGCCATAGGATGCCAGTGAAGTAGCCGAGGGTGGAGTGGTGTCTTCCCCTGCACGGCCCTCTGTCTCCGTCTCAGCCTCCTCGCCCTCTTCCACAGTGGACAGGCAGCGCTGGGCTGAAGGCTGGCTGTCAAAGGTTATGTTGGAGACTAGTGGCGTCTCCAAGGAATCATCCAGCTGAGCTTCTCCTTCCGTGTCACTGGCCTCATCTTCTGTTACTGAGGATGAGGACGGGTTGGAGGTTGGGGCAGTTGCAGGGCCTCCCAAAACTTCATCAGCAGGGAGGGTCTCTGGCTCAGTTTCCTCCTCATCTCCTCCCTCCAGATCAGGCTGTGGAGAAAGCACTGGGGTTTGTGAACTTTGTGGCTGGAGCTTTACGTCTCGGTTATAGTCCCCCAGTTCCTCAGGTGTGCTGGTCTCACTGCTAACGGTGCTTGACAGAGACATTCCAGGTGCAGAGAGGGGGGGTGGGTGCGCAGTCTGCATTGGAGCTGTATTTGTCTGATCAAAGTACATTTGGCCCTCAAGATTTTGTGGCTCCTCTTTGATAGACAAATGATGGGGAACTTCTAAGCTTTCATGAACAAAAGGGGCAGATCCCATTTCCAGCCAGGCATGAGCTGAGGTCTGAGTTGGGGTCTCAGAATCTGCTCGCAAACGGTCTGCTAAAGGGCTTGCTGCAGCTGCTCCCACCAGCTCAGGCTCAAGAACCCGCTGTTGCTGTTGAGGTTGATGTTCTGCCCAGGGATCTGCAAAAGGGTTTAGCTGGTCCCACTGAGCAGCTGGTGCAGCAGGAAGCAGAGGCGGCGGAGGTGGTGGTTGAGCCACCCTGTTCAAGTTGTCCAGCCTTTCATCCTCAGCAAAGTCATCCTCATCTGCATTCCCGTAGCTTTCTAACCCACTTTCAGTCACCCCCTCACTCGCCATCTCTACATCATCGTCTTCCTCCTCTTCTACATCATTGTCATGCCTGGGTCTTGGCGGTTCATCTGCCCGCTCGGAGCCTACATCCATGTCAATCACTCGATCATTCTCGTCCTCATCGTCATCTTCGTCTTCATCAAAATCATTAACTGGTATGTCAGGAACCTTCTCAAAGTCAGGAGAACCTGCTGAGGCTCCTTCCATGTCAATGGCTCCTTTGAGACTACCATCTCCCAGATCATCAGTGCTTTCTGTGCCCTCCAGGACACCAGGGGCGCTCAGTTCAGATGCACCCTGCTGACTGCCGCTCACCTCCTCAGAGTCCAGCTCAGAGAGCAAGGCACCACCGGCTCTCCAAGCAGACCCCCCGACTAGTCCAGCTGATCCAGGACGGGACTCCTCTGTGGGCTGTGTGGTTCCACTCATTTCAGACACAGAAACCAACTGGCTTCCCTCCCTCTCCTCTTCATCTTCTTCCTCATTTAGATTGGCCGGAGGGACTATCTGAGGGACAGCATTTGCCGCTGCTGGAAGGACTGCAGATGCAGAGGAGGCCTGGTCTGTTAACAAGTCAATATTTGCTTCTGACAAGTGTGGAGTTGAGGCCTCAGGTGATAATGAAGGCATGACTGAGGAAGGGGTTGGCTCCTGTGCTGTTGTTGTTGTTGTTGTTAAGGGAGCACTGCCTTCAACTTCTTTTTTGAGCAGAGACTTCTCTGGTAAGGTTGTCTCAGAGCGCGGTGGAGGAGAGTGAGCCACTTCTTGGCTTTGAGGGGCCTCTTGAGGTGCCATATCTGCAGTGGTCTCCTGAGGCAAAGCTGGGGGAGGCACCTCCTCTGGTGCAGCAAAGGATGACTCTTGTGGTAAGGCTGCTTTGGCCTCTGCTTGTGTTTCAGTTAGCACAGCTGCTGCTGCAGTACCAGCTGCAACTGCAGCTACAGTAGCGGCTACTCCAGCAGCTGCGTTACTCTCTGACGCTTCAACAGATGTGGTAGTGTTTGAAACGTCTTTCTTCTTGGTGGCAGAGAATGGTGGGACAGTCTGAGTGGGTTTGGGTCCACGTTTTGTTTTAGAGGGCGTGCCGTTTGCCGCTTTGTTGGCTGGAGAGGAAGGTGGCGTTTGGCCAAAGGGTGGTCTGCTAGTGGCAGGTAATCGTTGAGAAGCGATGGGTTTCTTTGTGAGGGCATGTTTTGCAGGCTGTGTTGGTTTGAACTGTGATGCCTTTGAGTCCACTGGCTTCGTCGTGGATGATTTAGATGTGGTGCTCACCTTTACGGTGGCCACAGGTTTAAAGGGTTCGGGTTTTTTGGTAGTAGGAGCTGCTGCTGTTGTGGGTTTCTTGGCTGCTGTAGTAAGTGGTGGTCGAGTGACATCTGGTGAGAAGATTAATAAAACAAATTCATACACTCCTACTGGTTGATCATCATGCAGCTGTAGCTGATGTATGAGTAGTCAAATGCAAGTAGCTGACCATTTTAATTTGAGTACAAAGTGCTAAAGTAGAAACAAATACAAGGCATTTCTATTCCAAAGATTCACACAACAATCTGACCATTATCTATGTCTCCAATATACAGACTCAAATTGGACTTTGCTTCAGAAGAGTGTCTTGTAAGAACGAGGTCTTCTCACCTTTCTTAGCAGCAGCTGCTGCTGCTGGTGGTTTAGGCTGTGCTGATGTGGTCCTGCCAGTAGATGGGGCTGTATTAACTCTGGAAACAGTTTTGGCAGTTGTAGTGGTGGAGAGCTTGGTTGTAGCTGCGGGAGGCCTGGATGTGGCGGACGTAGGTCTAGAAGTTGAGAGACCTGGAGAAGGCCTGCAGGCAGAGAAAAACAATGAAGGGTGAAAAAAAAAAAACCCCTAAACACACAGCTTTATTGTGTGGTTCATTCATTTTGTTAACAAAAGTCCAAGCATGAAATCAAAGACTCCCCCTCTGTATGCATTTACGAGCATAAATAAATGATCAACTAATATAAGCCACAAAGGTAATTTCAACAATGGGAATCCATTAACAGCACCTTTCATCTACAGCCATGTAATAATGCCTTCTTCACCCCCCCAAAAAAAACCCCAAAAAACCCCCAAAAAAAACACAACCAACTGAAGAGTAAAGCACAGTGAGAAGAGAAATGGGAACTAATAGCCATAAAAGGCCCAAAGAACATTTTGCAGTCTCTTCTTCACCAAAGTCCTGATTTGCTACTCAGTCTGGAGTTCTCATGAGACACTGCAGTGATCTACTAAGTCACACCAACTGCAACTACAAAAACTCAATCTACTATTGCCACACACCTCACCTTTTACTGCTTCCCTAGTAAGTCCTTCACAGTATATCTGCCTCAGCACGTCGTTTACACTATGCCTACAACAGAGTCTCATTATATGACATTATAGACACTTTTATACATGAGCTTCTGACAGCTTCAAGTCTCAATTATTTCCAGTTTTTCTTCCTCACATGTGACACGCAGCAAGAAATATTTTGCTTCAGATGAATACGCACTACTGGAAATACTAATGAGAAAGGACGCTGTGTGGACAGTGTGGAGAAAGAAGTACATGCCGCCTATTCAGTAGCTATGAATGCACCAGACTATAAGCAGGAGCACACTGAAGCAATCAAGAGCCTTTGTGCATCAGACATTAGGCAGTCTTTAGCCTGCAAGCTCCAAGACAAAGACTGTAAAAGATTCCAGGTTTGAACAGTGAACCCAGTGCATAAATGCTTTAAACATGCTTAATTTTAGTAGGCGGCGAAGGTAATTTCGCTGACTAATAATTTGTCATAGGTGTTGTCAATTTTATTTATATTTTTTTATTTTTAATTAAATGGAGTCGACAACCTGGGCTGTCGTACACTACTTCTTTAACTGACCTACAAGTAAAGAGAGTTGGTTAAATGAGCAAGTTGCAGCTGCAGGCAGGTCCAGCACTCTGAACAATGCAAAATCTCAACCTGTAAAAGATTCACATTGCAAACCATTTTTCTAACAAAGACTGACTAGTTTTTCCTTCAGGAACTACGAGGACTCTTCACAAGCACAAAAATCTTCCTTGCGTTTTCCTCTTTTTGACCTGGCCTGCTGATTTGGTAGCTGATACAGACATGAACAGGAGAATGCACAATAACGTTGATGCCTTTCAGTTGGGTTGCATGCTTCTCCCACATTACAATAACCATTACAATGGCCATCTGTTTTCCTAGAGATCAGACAGCCACTGTACAGACATAGCTAAGGGATGTTGTAATTGGCTGCTATCAGATAGATGATTTGGATCGTAATGTAAAGGGCAGCCCAAACAGCAAATTGTGCCGTACATTGAGATAATATCAGCCCAGACTTAAGGTTGGGTACTGATAAAAAGCAGGAAAAATAAACAAACAGCAACAAACAAACAGCAGACACATGGAGGCAGTGGGCACAGATCTAAGATTTCAGTTTATTAAAAAAAACCAAAACCAAAAACAACAAAAAAACCAAACACAACACTCCACTGGGAAAAATTTACTGAAGCCGTTTCCTATCCAATACTGCATGCAAGCAAAATATAACCTGACAGCATCACCCAATTATAAGAGGAAGCAAGGTGGACAAAATTGAGTTAATGACTTTATCTACAGGGGGAGCGAGCGAGAGAGAAAAGACAGTAAAGTGATGGGCGTAGAGGGTAGCAGGAGTTCACAGACATAACCTCAAACAACCCTGCTCTGCCTTCCACTGTTTTATAGCAAGTCACAACTCATCAGAGAACCAGCGCAAAGAGGAAAAGACAGTCCCCATTAATGCCTTCACACATGGTGTATGGGTGGTGGCTGGTGGTTCTGTTGTTGATGTAATAGTACAGATTACATTTCCTGCCAACAGAGGCCTGAAATCAATACAAACCACGGTCCAAAGAGATGAGAGGCTCTGAACAGCCATCCATGTGATGTTAATGTCCTAACATGAGGTCATCAGAAAGCCAAAGGTCGACAAAGCATGGGAGTCACTGATAACTAATGGGCTTTCCGTGCCATGCAGTCATATTAATATTTAGAGCAGATGCCGTAATACGCCCATGCCATTAATGCACTGAGCATCTGCAACATCTGTTTTGCCAAAACTGGAAGTGTAAACATGAGCTTGAGGGTCTTTTGGAAGCCACACCTACTCCATCTACAACCCCCTTTCCTACATCTAGTAAGTCAATGTTGTTTTTGTTGCACTTTGCTTTATTGAATTTGACACATTTATATAATACACCAAAATATTCAAAGTATACCCATTATACTTTAATCAAATCAGTTTATCCTTAAAAAAAAAAAAAAAAAAGAAGACATTTTTATTTTACTGATCTACTGGACACATTGTAATTTAATTATACAATCTTTTGTCTTTGCCCCCCCCCCCCACTCCCTTTCCACTCACATCACTTCAAATGGTGTAGAGTGAGATGGATAGCTCCTGCAGTACCTTGTTTGGTTTGTAGCCTGTCCCAAACTAGCTGATTTACTCCTTCCACAGAGGCACACACATTCCTAAGACTTGTGTGGGCTTTGTTATCTCCTTGACAATAAAGAGTCAAGGCATGAATCAACTCAGTGCAGATCTGGAGCCTAGCGGTAGCTGTGCAGCCAGTTTTTGGCTCTAATGCTCTAGGCACCCACTGTCAGTGTGACAGATGCCATGGGTCTTTCCTGTTGGAGTAATCCTGCTCCCTGCCAACACTGTTGGTGAGAAATGACTGTTTCATCCCTAAAGGGATAATGCAAAAAAAAATTTGAATGCATTTTCGATTGCAATTTTGCTTTTAGCATCCCAAGTCTACAGATCCAGGAGAACTGCCCACCAGCAATTCTGTCCATTTCCCATGGTGACCCTTTGAATATTAATCATCTTATAAACTGTTCAGCAACATGACATGGGCTGCATTTTATTGTGCATGCAGGTAAATGATAAATTAGTTTGAATTTTAGATGGATGTGGAGGTTTTAAGGAGGACTTAAGGAGTTCCTGGCCAAATTCCCAGCACTGTGCATGTACAGAAGGCAGGGGGGAAAGGGATGAAGAGGCAGAGAAGAGAGAAGGGAAGAGGGGGTGGGGAGGACAAGAACGGATTGCTCAGTCAGTGCAAGGACACCACAACCCATCATCGGAGGAGAGTGGACCAAAGCAAATGTCAGATCTGACAACATTTGGCTTCTACTCCAGTTATTAATCTTAATCTGCTTCAGAGGACTGGAGGATGTCTCTGTCCCAGTGATGTTGTGTCTGTTACATGGTGTAGCTAAGAAACCCTGAAATAAATAAAACATTCCTGACTTCACTGTTCATGAGTGTTCACAGACCCAGCACTGCTGATCAATCAGATTTTATTCCCACTGTTCCCAGGCACCGATTCCATTTTTTTAAAAGCTCATAAGTCTAACACAATCATCAAATCCTATGTACCCTTCATTCACTTTCTCCATTGGTAAAATTATTTTTTAAATGATTTATTACTTTAAGTCACTTCTCCTGTTGGGAGAGAACGAGGTTCATCTCAGGCAGTGTGTGCTGCTACTCAAGTCCACATGAAATATTTACATGTACGAAAATGTCAATATGGCTTCCTCCTGCAGGATAATTTGGCTAACAATAACTACTGTTTTCACAGCAGTATAATAATACAGTACAGACAGCAGAGCTGAAATTAAAGCAACAGGAGATCCTGTTTGTGCAGGTCTTCCCCCACCACCATTAAAGCCTGTTGTATGCATTTCTATATAAGGTTGGAGCAATAAAGAAGAATACTGCTGAATAGTGTGAACCAGAAATCATCTTTAAAGAAAAAAATAAAATGATACAAATTTGGGGAAAATGCTTTATACATTAATAAATAGTAGGACGATTTCTAAACGCAGTCAGTTTCTCAGTCAGGAGCCATTTAAAGTTTAAACAATCATAATACTGTATGGTCACAGGGTAAACAGATTTCAGTGAATTTAAATAACTATTATTCTGACCAGAACCGGCAGCAGGAACTCATGTGCCGCTACACAAAATATGGACTACAGTTTACATGCACAGCTTAAGAAAAACAAATTTGTGTCTGTTCTCAAAGAAATTTGTGTCTGGGTGAAGAAGTCACTTGAAAGGAGGCTGATTATTGCTCACACATACTCTTCGTGCATGCATGTGTAGAATCCAGTTGTGTGGATAACACTGCATCTAGGACTGGGTGATATATAGTTTTTTTAAAAATATCGATCTATTTTCATACGAGATATGACAATATAGTTTATATCGATATAGTATAAGTTACGTTATAATTATACTTGTGGAGCCGCTCTTTCGTCCACTTTTGTCTCTATGCAACGTTACTCTGCCTCGCCTCTCCTTCACTGAACACAACTCCCCCTCCTCCCCCATCGCTTCACCTGCAGGCAACGACAAGATGGACACGGCAAATCTCCGTTAACGAGTTACCGCAGATCGCCCCGTACGTGGGGCTGGACGGCGTCAACGTGTTAGCGAGCTAACCGCGCTAACGACATGCACGGCCTAAAATCCTTTCATTTTCTCAAAAATCGACAGTGCGCCTTATGTATGAATTCTGGTTGTGCTTACTGACCGTGAACCGATTTTATGTGGTACACGGCGCTCAGCAATCTGTCAAATGTTTTAGTACGACTTTGGTAAGCTACGGAGCTGCACCGCTTGATGGATTGTCGGAGCATTACGTCTACCGTAGTCCGGAGCCTCGCGGAGTAATACGTATGTGCTTCAACGTAATATTACCGTACTGTGTGTGTATAAGGACCATAAATGGCACCTGTTAAGAGACACAGTTACAAAGCAGATTTCAAACTCCAGGCTGTCAGTCACGCAGTAGAACTTGGGAACAGAGCAGCTGCAAAATCTGTCCATGTTATTATGCTCAGCGTCTGTTAGTTTACATTTTGACTGCACAATTGTGAGCTTTTTGTTATGCACAAAAACAACCGTTTTTTATTTATGGAGCATTATTATTTAATAAATGCTCATAATTTATTTTTCAGTAATTTCTTCATGTACATCTACGCTGTATGTTAATAAAAGTGCCTGTGTGACATCTGGGACACAGCTTTGACTAAGAACTCTTTGTTCTTACTTTATTGCTTAAAAAAACAAAAAACAAAACCGAGATATATCATATAGAGCCATCCAGCTAAAAACATATCGACATGAATTTTGGGTCATATCGCCCAGCCCTAACTGCATCCTATTAATGTATAAATTAATGTATGACACAAAAATATAAACCTAAAAAGTTGTCAGCCCAGCCCTATTCAAGGCTTACGACTAATGCAGTCATGTCTCGCTGATGTTTGTGCCCGACTCTAGAAGAGAGCTAGCACAAACACCAAAGGAAATGCACACCACCACTAATTTGACACGCTACTGACTTTACCGTGTCACCCCCACCCCCTCCTCCAAAAAAAAGAAGAAAAAAAAAAGCCACCTGCTGCCGTTCTCCTGAAAGCAGAGTGCCTGATGCCAAGTCCCAGGAAACAATCACATAAGGATGATGCAGCAGTGTAATCAGACTCTGACACTTGAAATGCCTCATCTAATTAATTCAGAGGATCTGCTTCTTCATGTACACACCCTTCCACACTTGTATAGAGTAACAGAAAATAGTTCCAGCTATCTGGACAGACCACCTGGTGCCGCTTTGGATTTTTTTCCTTTTATAAAATGATCTTGGCCACTGGTTGGAAAAAAAAAAAAAAAAAAAAAAAAAAAAAAAAAAAAGAGGATGAATAGCTGATTAACCAAAAACTACATCATCTTCTCTCTGGTCTGGGAGTTTGCACCATTTCTCTTTTTTATATCATTGTAAAACAAATATCACTGAGTTTTTAGACCTGTGATCTTAGATGGATTCAGCCACTGCATCTTTTGGAATAGTAATGCAAGGAGGAATCCGCTGCTTAAAAACACAGACAACATAGAGTATTAATAACTTAAATATTCAATCTCAGCAGCTAAAGCTTAATGAACTTCTGAGAATAAGGGATTTTTTAACAAAAAAACCCCATCTCTGAGCAAGTAATAAAATGATTTAGCATTATTCCTTTCCATCCTCAAGCCTAGTACAAATTTTTGCACCAGTTTCACAAATGGTACTGAAACTAGTGAGAGTTTATAAACAGGTATCTACAGCATGATAGTTACTTTCAGCCAAATAAGAACATAATGGGTCTTTGTTGCTTAAAGGAATGACAACGCAGCACATTATTCCTATATTCAATAAGAGGGCATTAAGAGGAAAGGCAAGGGGAGATCAAATCTAATCAAGCCTCTCCATACAGAACATCACATCCTGTAGAAAGATGCTGGATTGGTCTATTATGTCCAATTCTTTGTGAAGTATAACAAAAGAACTCTTCATTTGTGGATGTCTCACAAAATCAAAAACTTTGCAATGACTCGTTTCTCATGCTTGGGCTTTCAGGTAGCAATCGTTCTACACAGTACATAATAAATGCATAACAAAAGCTTACTAGTGGAAGTGACAGCGGTGACTGGGTCAACTGCTAAATTCTACAGCACACAAAAGGATCATTCGTGCTTTGTTTAGTCCAACTAGAGCGCTCTATCCAAGCCACCAACCCAGTATGAGAGGGGATTATGATCCAAGTCAACAGCTCTCTGCCCTGGGGAGGTGGGTCTGGTTTCTGCCAGGGGGGGGGTCTGCCCATGACAAAGCAGTAGTTCTTCAGTATCACTGGTTCTGTTAAGGCCCTCTGTTTCAGGTTATTTCTGCTAACATGACTCACACACTTGAAGTGAAATTTGACTCAATAATGGGCCCAAAGACCACAATGAGTATCGTTCTTCACTGCTCCTTTTCAGGGCATTGAGATAAAGTCATCCTCTCATCCAGTTTGTAAGGGGATTACAAAACTCTCATGTCAGAGGGAGATCAGAGAAAATGAAGACATGTATGAAAGAAACAGAAGAGTATGGAGGAAGTAAGAGAGGAGTATCTGTTAGCACACCGCTGATAAAATAAAGGGGCTTTCCAACCACATCATTTTCACAGACTGTGCTACTAGACTTGTAAACTGCTGGAACCTGTTCCCAGTTTATGACAGATAGCCATACCTTGTGGTTTTTGATGCAGCAGCACCAGCAGCTTTAGCTGTGGTCAAAGCACTGGTTTTTGGAGCAGTAGAAGGGGCTCTGCTGGCAACAGCTAAAATGAGAAGGAAAAAAAAAACAAAAAACAAACAAACAGAAAAGACAATGAGATGACACAGAAATCAGAACAAGACAGTTTATTCATCATACCTTATTTAGAGGACTGTTGAACCTTAAGCTGTCACAGCTCCTTAAGACTCACCTGTAGTTTTGGGTTTAGCTCCATTAACAGTCTCCGTTGCAAGTTTCTTCTTAGGTGTGCCATTCACTGATGGTTTGGTACCATTTGTTACTGTGGCAGCAGCAACAGAGGTAGTCCTGGCAGGTGCAGCAGACCTCTTGTCAGGCACTCTAGTTTGGTTCTTGGCTGTTGTGGAAACTGCTGATGTACCCAGTGGTCTTTTGGGTACAGCTCCTGCTAACGAAGAGGTTTTTACCGTAGATGTTGCTGCAGTCTTCTTGCCTGGAGCAGCAGAAACACCGGAGGCAGATCTGACATCATTCGCAGTGCGATTTGAGGCAGTACCAGGCCGTGAGCTGGAAGCCCCAGCAGAGGCCAAAAGCTTCGTTTGAGGCCCACCAGCTTTTGGTTTAACTTTGGCCTGCGCAGGCACTGGTTTGCCATTGGCCTTTGGAGCAGCTGTTAATGCAGTATCATTTGCTACATCATCTGCCTGTGATGGGGCTTGTTCAGTTATGTTTTCTTGTAATGAGGAAGGCTCTGTTACAGTAGCAGCTTCACCTTCACTGGGCTCTGTGGTTTCCATGCTAACCCCATCCGGTTTCATACCCTACTTCAGAAACGTGTGGATGCTGCTGGAGTCGATGCCGATATCTACGTCTACGGGCTCACACCTGTCCTGAATGGTCAGTTCCTCTTATCCTTAACAAGGACGTCCTGCTGAAAAAGAATACAAAAATGTGGGTTAACCTCCAAGCTCAGTTTTGACTACACTAAATGTACTTCAACTTAAAGCTGAATTAAACTATGCTGCAATATCATGGATTCACATGATAAACATGTCCCTGTCAGCCAAAGGAAACAGCAGTTATGTTAAGGGGCCTCAGTGGAATTTGGGAGAGTTTAAGAAATACAGGAAGCGAGCAGCCTGAGATGCCAGCAAATATTCTCACTAAAAATCACCCTCCACTAGAGTGACTACTCCATCAACTAATGTGGCACAACCATGACAATAATGCATC